TATATATATATATATATATATATATATATATATATATATATATATATATATATATATATATACACTCATTCGACATTTCTCTTGTTGATCCGGATCTCTCCTGTAACCTTCGTATAAAGTCACCTTCTTAAGATAAAATTGGAGATGACAGTACAGATAACATCATGTTACTCGTCAATCGGTAACTAGTGAGGGAGTGATGCATGCCACTTACAACGTTACTCTATCTCTTGCCAGCTACCAGCAATTGAGGAGCGGTATGAAAATCTAGGCATCACATTTGCAAGACTCGTCTATCACATTATGTGTGATTATTCGTTAATCTTCTTTAATTATTAATCCAAAATGTTACGTGATTATTCACAAAATAATACAAAACTTTTTGATCCAATCTACATGCACACGAGAAATGTTTATATTACCGGCATACATCTTGTATATAAACATATATCACGTTTATAGAAGATTTGCGCGGAAGTAGTTAGCGAGCGTGAAGTAATAAACAATGCATGCATTCAACACGTTTGCCTACTTCTGTGCTATCTTAAGAGTCTATTGTGATTCGATTATATTCTATCGTCAATGCAATCTGTCGTTTCTAAATCTGCTCTGAGCTCTTGTTCACTTATCTCATCTTCATCAAAGGTATGCGCTTGTACTTTTCATATTTTATATATAAGCGATTTATGCATTCATAGCGCTACATATTTATCGTATTTCAAAATTTACTTATATGTAATTTCATGCGTTAATCTAAGAAATTTAACCCATTCGCCTCAGACTAAAATGCTGTAAAATTATCCTAAAATTATTCGGAATTATTTATTTTGTAGAAGAAATCTTATTTTGTAAAAAATCAAAAGTACACACATATCTTTAAAGCATTATGCGTACCATGGTGGAAATAACAAAGTGTACTCGTTTCTTAGACGCATTTCGTCACAGTTTGCGCAGTGACTAAGATACGTCATCTTGTAATCACAGATAGTAACGCGTCTGTGTGTGTAAAGGGGAAGCATCATGAGATATAGCGATATTATCGATATTTATCGACATGACTCAGGAGAAAATACAAAATATTAAGATTCCATGAGAAGTATTGTTATGCTTCTCGTACGCGTACATATGAATTAGAAATATCAATAAACAAATTTCTCCAGAAAACCAAAGAGTAAAACAACAAAAAAATGTTCAAATTTACAAATCGTAAAGTTACTACATTTTGAATGTAAATTTCACTTTTATTTATTATTCGTTATTGTACTAAATGTATGTTTTACTAATTAATTAATGTTAACATTTATTTATTGTTATACAAAATGTATTTATTCTAATTATATTTCTTTGTTCGAGTTTTAAAGTTGATATTAAAAAAGAATATATATTTATATTTTGTAACATCTATTCACCGTAGTTACTTTTCACTTTCTTTGCATGAATCATTTTTTATTACATGCATTTAAATTGCTCAAGATGGCTGAGTTCAGTCACGCTCTCTCATTGGCCAGCAAAAATGCCTGCGTAGATCACACCTTGTTACTCTACCATGATGCGTACTGCAAAGTTAAAAGCATGTTTTTGTATGGTATAGCTCAAAACAGTCTGATCGTCACTTGAATTTATGGCTTCGCAAGGGCATGACGAGCTCAACTCGTCAAATGAAGCGAATGGGTTAAATAATTGTCATGTCATTCATGTATTTAAAAAAATGCTACCAATAAGATATGCTGTAATGATCCGATCCACTATTTGCATCTGAAACGGTACGGGACCAGCCTGCATTTTAATATAACAAAGAAAAAGCACGAAAAGAAAAAGTCACAAATCAATCTCGTTTCTATTACGATCGCTATCGAATTGTCAGAATTGAATAACGTATATATGTTTGTTTCCATATAATGGTCAGTTTTGCTTATACATCAAATCGTTTATTATTTCATGCTTCCCATACGAAGTAAAGTTGTAAAGCATAGAATTCGTCTTCCGGCTTTTCAAGATACAGGTACTTAAATCAGTTAAGCAATGTGCACGCGACAGAAGGTGACAATGTCCAATTCGGCGTCCGACAATATTTGCGTATTTTTGTGATGTTTGTCTCTCGCCTGCTGTCTTCATCTGTAACACAAACAGTTTAGAAGCCATTGGAAACCGACTTGAAATACTCATCGATACTCATTCGTGAATCACGAAGAGTCACAAGAACGACATAGTTGATAGAGTAAACGGCATTAATGAGATTTACAATTAGCAGTAAATGAGTTTTAACTCACCTGCTGTTCAAGCAACTCAAGCTTACTGGAAGTGGTTCCGAGTCCACCGCTGGAATATGACCAGCCACAGTCTCCATCAACGGATACCACTGAGCCACTGGTTTTCTAGGATTGTCTAACATTTCTAACCAGTGATCTCGACCAATTCCGATAAAGCTCGATCCAATAGCTGTACATCCCATCAATTCGTTCGGTCCAATCCTGATATAAAATATTAAATTTAGAGAAAGAAAATGAGTAAAATAGAATAGAGTTTATTACTATTCCAAGAGATCCCTTTCATTAAGTTTACAATAAATCATATTAGGTGGGATAAAAGATTCTGAGTATATACAAGAAAGAATTGAAATAAACTAATAAGATTAAATACATATCTCAATCATAGAAAAAAATATAAGAATATTATAATAATTATATTATTATTATATTATAATATTATTATTATATTTATAAGAATATTATATTAAAAATATAAGAATACGCTACGGAAACTATAAAAAAAAAACTATAAAAGAAAGAAGAAGAACCACAATAAGGAAACGTAAAAAATTGCGAGAAAAACACAAAGGAAAGATAATTCACCGATTAAACCAATTAAAGAACGCAGAGAGGAATATAGAAGACATGCAAAGAAACAAGAGAAATAAATACAAATATTGTACAAGAAACGCAAAGTATAAGGTTAGAAAAATGTTACAAATACGCAAGAAACGCAATAGACGCATTAAAATATAAAAAAATTGCGACAAAAAAAGAGAAAAACACAAATAAAGAAAAAATATATATAATATATATAACATATAAAGACAAGTAAATGAAATATAAATACGTAAGAACAGCATAGTGAAAAGAGCAAAAATGCTAGAGCAAATATTAAGTATATAAATGAATAACCTAAATTTTTCTAAATTCAAGGCTTATTAAAAAAAAATAAAACAGATTTTTCAAAGTATTCGCCGTTGCTTTCTATAACTTTAAATAATCTTTTGAGCAATTTATCAATTCCATCTCGGAAAAATGCTATATTTTCGGATACAATGAAGTCGTCAAACTATTTTCAAATTCCATCTATAAAAATCTTATCAGTCAAGGCGTGTTTTATCAACTGGAATAAGTAGTAATTGGAAGAACTGTGTCTAGTAAATACGTCAGATGCTGCAAGACGTCTAAGCTAAAATTAATTGTGGTGTCTTTTATTTTAGAAGCAATGTGTGGCCTGATATTGTCCTGCAACAATTTCACAAGACATGACAAGACGTTTTCCTTTACTAATATACAGGCGTTTTCGTTCCAATCCTTGATTCAAGAGAACTAATTGATGTTGATAGCAGTCTTCAGTAATTGTTTCATCAAGTTCCAACAGCTCATAATAAGTCATACTCTTGATATCCTACCAATACAGAGTAGAACTTTCTTTCGGAAGCTTTGGACTTTACGATCAATGTTGATAGTTCGCCAAAATTTATCCATAATATTTTGTGTTTGGAATCGAATTATAGAGTATCCATATTTTATCAGCCGTAACGATTTTACATAAGAAAGACTTTTTACACTACTTATTGAGAAGAGTAAAACACGGTGCTATTTGCTGATTTTAGTTGGCATGAACGAGTTAATGCGGAACCCATTTTTCCTCTTTTTGGATCTCTCCCATCTCGTTTAGAAATAGTTTCCTCTATTACTTCCAACTGCTCTGCAAGCTACTTTTGCATTTATAACAAATTCTTAACGAGCAACTATTCTAAATCATTCTTATCGCACTTCCAAAAACCTCCAGGGCGTTATTTATCAATCAGATTGAACTCATTGTTTTTAAACTGCTTAAACGAAAATGCGCTAATATAGCGCTCGTATAACATCTTTGCCGAGAAATAAACAAATTCATTCATACGCTTTTGTAGCATTTTTTCTTTGTTGGAATTCGTAAAGAATACAATGTCGGATGTGCATCTTATCTATTGCCATTTCTGAACAAACCAAACACTTTTCAAGAACGATACTGAACCAAAAATTTTTTAAATTATGTTAGGTCTACTGCCAATAAATGTCATTTTGAATGTGTTCCGTACGGGAGCTGTCGTCCGCACGGATCGCGGGCGGCGGGCGGCCGTGCACCAGGCGCGTTCCGCGCGCGGGCGACTACCGCTCGCCGTGGCTTCACGCCGCCGCCGCTACGCGGCAGCGCGCCGAGCCGGGGCTGTTAGTCGCGGTTAAATTTCGGTGCGGCGCCTATATAAGACGCCGCGGACGCCGACTCTAGGCCTTTTGACTACTATTGCACATCAGGTCACTGCCTCGCTGAGGTATTCTTTTGCACTATATCTAGCATCATATCGCCTTCTTGAGTGCGTCAGCAGGTTGGGCTTTTGCCTCGCTCGAGGTATACGTTTGCATATCTGCCTTAAACTTTACTGCCTTAAGAGTGTCGTAGACACGTTGGCATTTGTGGTTAGGTCTTCGGTGACTCTACACAACCCTCCGCAGCCCTTTAGAGCGCGCTTGCACGTTGGGCTAATGTCTCTAGAGTGTCCGAGGACACGTTGACATCGGTGTTACGAAGTGTACGATAACTCCACGGATCTCCAACCTTCTCAATACAATCGAGGATTGAGAGAAGGCTTCGCGCGACCATATCGGATTACCTTGACATCTCCACTGCGGTGGACGTCTCTCTTCGCGACATCTCAGTATTGCGCATATTGAATATTATCGCCGACAGAACCTACTGTTGGGATCACGACTCCGCGCGAGTCGTCCTTGTCCGCACAGGACTCAGTCGCTGCCAGGGACGCAGCATATACACGCGAGCAGTACTCGCCTTCACGTCCGCACAGGACTCAGTCGCTGCCAGGGACGCAGCATATACACGCGAGCAGTATTCGCCTTCACGTCCGCACAGGACGTAGTCGCTGCCAGGGACGCAGCATATACGTGCGAGCCCAGCTCGCCTTCACATCCGCACAGGACTTAGTCGCTGCCAGGGACGCAGCATATACACGCGAGCCGAGCTCGCCTTCACGCCCGCACGGGACTTAGACGCTGCCAGAGACGCGGCATATACAAAACACGGAGCCTAAGACTCCCGTCGCCGAATAACGTCGCGAATCACTTGCACCCCACTTCATCTTACAGGGCCGCTGGATAGCGGACTGCTAGCGACAAAGACCGCGGTCTCCACACGGCGAGCGGACATCAATCCACATCCCGCATAACGAACCAGCCGCTCTTCACCCTCGGGCCATTCGAAACAGAATGGTTATATGTTTACATTATATAATCGTAAAGAAACGAAAAAATAAATTGATTTAAAAATTACTATTTTTAATTACTTAAAAATTTTTTTATTATTCATTTATGCATCTAATAATACGTCAATCCTTCATGTAGAGATCTAACCTTTATCAATGTACTTATTACAAGAGTATGTCGCGAAATGCAAAATTGATTTTCGAAAGAATTATACAGGGTGTCCCGCATAAGATGTACTAAAATAAAAATATAAATAGAACAGATAAAAGTGAAAAAAATATTCTAGAGGTCATTTTTCGAACAACCACGTAAAATTTCGAGTTATTAAATAAAATATATGGACAAATCAGAGCGCTCGATGCGGCAGGCGAGACATACGGCTCGCTGCGGCCGGTGAAGGAAAATGGACGAACGTACACGGACGCACACATGGAGCTATCTATTTCAGTATTTTACCAAACGGCCTACCTCTCTATAAGATAAGCGAGCAATCGTCCATTTTCTTCGCCGACCGCGGCGAGCCGTATGTCCTGCCTGCCGCGTCGCGCATTCTGATTTGCCTATCTATTTTATTTAATAACTCGAAATTTTACGTGGTTCGAAAAATGACTTCTACAATATAGTTACGTATCCCGAGGTACTCACAACGTTCTCTCACCATCCTCTCAAAAATCTCTAATTGTCTTTGTGTTCTTCTTTGTTATAGCACTCCCCCCTCCCTATTCCGTCGCCTTATTCCGTCGAATGTGATTACATTGTTAACTATTGGTTATGCGCAAAATAGGAAATAAATAATTTTACATATCCCACATATAAGATTTCCAGAGTCAAATTTAATATCTATGTCTTATCATCGTGCGAATGCAAAGCCCAGCGACTTTCGAACTCCTTAATATATTGCGCCTTTTTCTAACACTAGTCGCTGCTGGGCTTTGCGTCTTAGTTCTGTGAGAATGGAATATCCCGAGAGGACGGTGCATAATCCGTCTCTCACTTGACACCAGATACGCAGAAAGATATGTCGCCAAGCGCAACTAGGCTCGTAGGCGTTTTACCGAAAACCGCTGACCAGCAGCTGGCGAGGAACGCCGAGAAGAGCCCATGAACGCGGATTCCTAATCCGCAGCAGTTAGTCTTCGTGCAAAACCCACCAGAGACGATCGCGATTACTCGTTCAAAAATTTTTAAGTTATCACTCAGAATTCGAGAGAAACGGTTACTCATCCCAATTTCTTCAGGTCCTCTCCCGAGATTCATCAAAGACGGTCGGTTGTACCTCGTCCTCGTATTATCATTCTCTTACTCTAGATTTTTAATACTTGCTCAGAATCTTCTAAGTCTTCGCTCGGAATCTTACAATGACAGTCATATCCCGTCCTCGTTATCATCCTTTCACTATTTCTTCAAATTGTTAGTGATTTGAATTGTCCAGAATCCGTGAGTAAAAATTCGGAATAAATCGTCTCTTAGTGTATGTATGGATATTCCTCGGGATATCAACCAAAATCTTTCCCGAATCACAACCAAAGCCTCCAATCCCACGATCATCCGCACCAATCAAAGGGATACCTAAAGCCCTTCTCCCCGCTCTCAAAAGGTGCTGGATATCGTAACTTAACCGAATTCATTAACCACTATAAATGTAAGTCGCAATCACATGCTATTGTAACCAGAATCAAGTGATTCAACACGTACCGTCTGCCGATAGCACACACATGCATACATATTGCCATCTCAAAGACGTCCAGATAGTGTACGACGAGTTCCATAAAAATAAATATAAAATAAATTCTCTGTTTTGTTATTTCCAACTATCCAATTTGTTTTTCGTTATCTTCCTTCATTTGTTAATCTACCTCGTCTACCGAGTGTGAAAACATCCTGTAAGGGCGTTTTTCTTGCGGAAAACTCGACGTTCGACCCCCTAATAACTCAGAACGGTGGAGCCGCTC